ATTTAACAAGTATCATATACATTCAGATTAACATCTGTCTATATTTCTGAGATGAGGTATTGTAATTATTTACATTGAAGATGAGGACATCAGTCTGAACATTGTCATATTCACAACATTTTGGCCATTGTACACTCTGGCCTTCTTCAAGTGATATATTTTGGAATTTTGAACCGAACCTTTTATTTAGTTCATTGGGGGGTATATTGTTCTAGTTCCACGTGCCATGCCTTTTGCTGAATATCTCAGTTTCAGTTAATTCCCTTTAGTAACTCAACTCTCCAAGTTTTTGCTCACATCTGCTGTGTCCACAACTCTTTTGGTCAAATTACGAGATTACTTCAACCAATTTTATCCACTGGGCCATGTTTTTATGAACATTTCAGTTATTGTACCATTTGACTTTCTTCAAGTGTTTGCTGACCCAGGTAACCTTAAGGAAATATTGAACTGAATATTTTATCAAATATACAGGCCACATTGTTCTCATTCCTATATCGATGTTTATGAATATCTTGTTCTTATTTAGTACTCAGCTATTGTTTCCACTGGGTTTAAATCTGTACTACTTGGTCCATACTATACTACCAAATTCACAAACTAATACTTGAATCCTCTGAACTGTTGTCTTAGACTCACTGGAAACAGGGTCAGCAAGAACTAAGCAGTGCTTAAAAGAGCGACAAGATATCCGTAGGCATGGAGAAAGAAACAAGAACAATCTTGCTAGATTAAATAAGGGATTCAATTCAAAACATGCTGAACTTGGATCAACAGACACCCAAAGATGGCCAAAGTACAAAATGGCTGAAATGTGATAATAAAAATGATGAGGACATTAGTCTGAATGTAGATAACTCATCATCCAAAAAATTCAGAAATTTAACAAATAGTCTAACAAGTAACTACAGTGTAATGAATTTAATACTCACTCAGTACACCCCACAACTTGAGGCCTTGTGCCATGCTATCAATTTAAGAATCAATTTAACATATATACCTGCCTTTGTAAAAGTATTGATTTCACTTGTTTTAAACTCAGCCCAGCACAAGGCCATGAATAACAGTCAATGACTTGTGAGATCAGCACACTTTTCATCACATTAAGTGAATACAATGTGTTAGTTAAAAGAAATATATACAAAGTCTGGTAAAAGCCAAGCCTGGTATATGGCCAATGTTTGTAAGCATCATTATTAATAACTGTGAATGGCATGTAAGACAAATTCAGAAAAATCAGTGCAATCATTAAAAAAAAAAAAAAAAAAAAAAAAAAAAAAAAAATCATTAAAATCTAAAGTATAAGAGGTTGCAGATTTTAGTAAAAGTATCTTTTTTGAAAAAAAAAAAATTTGCAACTAAAGTTATATCAACATAAGGAGATGTAGGTTCTTTAACTAATTTACCCACTGGTAAGACAAAACAAGTAGGGTCAATACAGATTCTACAAGTATATAAAAGTACTGACTTAAAAAAAAAAAAAATGAAAGAAAAAAAAGTGTTTTGTGAAAGACTAACTGAATTTTTAAAAGATCTGCTACTGGATCAAATACAAGTGGACAACATTTCTAAAAACAAGTTCTTTGGTCTCACTGTCATAAAAGACATTACACTCTAGCCCTGAGTTGAAAAAAGTGATTGTGGGAAACTTTTTTTTTCTTTTTTAAATGAAAGGATATCAAATTGAATAAGTTCTGTGTCCTTTGCACTTGACCACTTAAATAAACTAGCTGACAAAAAAAAAAAAAAAAAAAAAAAAAAAAGGTCTTCAGATGGGGTTGATCAGTCCCAAGCAGTAAAGTATTTTTAAGACATAATTTTATGTGATTTCACATTTGTTTGAATTTTTTTTTTTTTTTTTTTTATTTTTTACCCAGGAACTTTGAATATTGAACTTGTTTATTGTCTCCACTTGTAGATGTCTTTCACTGATGTATTTCAGATTTTAAATTACAACAATTGCACCAACTGTTGAGTTTGTATCATGAAACGAAGCAGATATCTTTGTCATTAAAGTTCTATGGCTCAACTGCTAATGATAAATTCACATAATCTGCAGTTAAAATGATTCCCCACCCGGCCAATGATGTTTTCTAAGCTTTAATTCCAAACTAAGTCAAAACTTTGTATAAACAGAGAGAAATAAATATCCCGAAGAGTAGAGAGAATTCCGTTTCTACAGTGCTTTAAAGAAAGAAAAAAAAATAAAGAGCAATTTTTTTTTTATTTTTTTATTTTTGATCATATACTCATGGGAAACACACCGTCACTAAATGGGGATAGCCAAACCACAATTGTAAATAAATATAAGTATTGAGCTGCTGCATATCCCAAAGAGTAGAGAGAATTCATTCAGTTTTTCTTTTCTACAATATTTAAAAAAGAAAAAAAAAAAAAAAGAAAAGTGAATACTTTTTTCTATTATAGATTCATAATAGGGCGTCAAACCACAGTTCACAAACCAGATACGTGTAATATTTAATATGCAGCTCATGCAGATATGTTAGCCAAGATTCTTTTTTCATTTGTTAATATGAAAGTTAGAAAAAAAATAAATAAATTAAAAAAATAAATTAAATTTTTTTTAAGAATGTTTAAAGAATTAAACTGTAAATTCACAATTAGTAAAATTCCATTACTTATTACAAAATCCTTTTTTTCCTAAGTTCACTGCTCATTTTCAGTGAGACATTATTCTTGAGTGTTGAAGGGAGGAATGGCGGAAGGCATTGGTGGATTAAAGGAATTCCAGGCCAGCAACTATCACAGAGGAATGGTCAACGCCTTGTAGCTCTCAAACATCTAAAGTCTATTGTATTAACCAAGGTTGGCTACCCCCCTTGTTTATAGTCAAGGATCAAGTATTATAGGACAAATCAATCATGCAATAACAAAATATTTAATTATGCTTGTTGGTCCATCTTTTCCTTGTGTACTTATTACAGTACGGGTGTGAATAGGATGTAGAATAATGTCTGAACAAAAGAGAAGCTATTCAAGACTATGCATTTCACCTTCTTATAGTAGGTGTCTTCATGTTAGAATGAGAGAAACCCATGTGTGAGAAAAGTGTACTGGAATATGAGGGAGAAGAAAAGATTCTCATCAGATGTTTCAGCCATAAAGTTGTTCTTTTTTTTCTCTTCTTATTAAAACTATTAACATCTGCTGAATTTGAAATTAACCCACTCCAAGTACATTTGGTTTTTTTTTTCTCTATTAGTTTGTATAGCGCATTGTGCTACTAAAATTTTTGCAATAATCAGTGATATTTTATAGGAGCCCTAACAGAAAAAAATACAGATATCCACTTGGAGTGAGCTAATTTCAAATCCAGCAGACATTGACAGTTTTAATACTGAAGAAAAAAAAGCTTTCTAACCACAGCATCTGATACCTTCTCTCCATATTCTAACATGCTTTCCTCACATGGGTTTGTCTCTCATTCCAGCCTGAAGACACCTTCTATAAAGAGGTGAATTGCACAGTCTACTGTCTCATTATCTCCACATTATTATTACAGGATCCGTACTCAAATTCTGTACCACTTTTACAAGTGTTAATCATGGCTTTAAAAGCATATCTTTGCATTGCTTTGATGACGAAAAAAAAAGTGTCATGGTTTAAAATACTGGCCATAAAGTTGGATTCTAAGGCAAGGTCTTCACCAAATGTCACAATAGCAATCCTGAGTGTATAAGATTTTACAAGTACAATAATGCAGTTAGGAGAGAACAAAAAATGTCTTAAATCCAATTAGTCAAACTGAAGACAACCATGTTAAAGGCATAAGGATTAACAAGGTCATCTTACAGACTGCTAGTCAGTTTGGTTTTTACTGAATTCTCCCAAACTTGTAGCCTTGTACCATACAATGCTTAATAAATATCACTTGATAAGCTTTTTAATCACTGAAGTTAAGCATTACCTAGTCAGTACTTAGATGGGTAACCTCTTAGGGACACTAGGTAAGCAAAGCTTAAAGAAAGAAACTGATGTGTTATGATGTGTCAAGAAAATGATTTATAAAAATTCAGATATAACTAAAATAATAAGACAATATGAATATAGCCAAAAGGAAAACTTACCTTAGTTCATCAGAAGAAACAAAAACATGCTGGCTATCAAGGCAAATGATATTTACCCTGATAAAGTCCATCAGAGTACATAACATGTCATCTAAGATAAGTTTTCCTTGTTATATATATATATATATATATATATATATATATATCTCACACAATAATGCATTTGCACATATCTCAAAGTAATACTTGGAAGGTTTTACACATATGTTTATATACAAACCACTCTTTTTATTGTTTTTTTTTAATTATTTTACATAAATTAATGCACTATTCCAAAAATAAAAAAAAAGTGTTAAAAAGGCTTTGTGGTGGTGGTAGAGAGTAAGGGCTGTGCCAAAATTAAACTATGCTTAATAAATAAATTAATAACTGTGACCATTTCAAAATGGTGTTTCTTTCAGGTGGACAATCATACCTACTCCTACATATAAACAGACTTTCGATGATAATATTTGTAGCTGCGAGTAATAAAAATAATTATATTAAAAATAAAAACTACCAGGTCTACATCAATAGCAATAAACCTTATTGGTAAATAATTATTCATGGTTGTTTAAAATAATTAGTAATAATAATTAATAATAGCAATCAACATAATATCAACAATGCATGTTGGTATTAAGTATTAAAATATGTTTATATTAAACAATAGAAAAATTGTTGTCTCTTGTCAGGAACAATTTATCACAGCAAGGTAATAAAATAGTAAAATTAATTTAATGTAAGTCCATGAAAATGACAAGTCCTTCTGAAACCAAATAATAATACAGCAGAGAAAAAATAAAAAATTTATTCCCCCCTACCCAATTTTTTTTTTTTTTGTAGGTTGATTACTTTTAAATACGAATTGTTACAATGATCCTTTGAATGTAGAAGAAGGAAGGTCTTTTTTCTTCTTTATTATTATTGTTGTTACGAGTCACTAGGAATGTAGATCGTCATGGTAACTGGAATGTGATCAGTGAGTGAAGCCAATCGAGTGACAAAGTTGTAAGCTTTCAGTGTCTGAAAAAAAATATTAAAATATTAAATTAAGCAACCAGAAACAACTTAATAGCTAAAATAAACACAGTGTAAACATACATATTTAACTAAACTCAATGACCACGAAAAGCGTCAGTGTCTGGTTAGTTTCTATTTATGATAATTATTTGCAAATAAAACTAAGGGAGGCTACTCTGTAATTATAAGTTTTCTATATAAAAAAAATAAGAACATTTTTTTTTTAACACACAAAATAAAAATCTTATTCCATTCAGCAAGTAGTAATTCTTTTCACTTCTTTTGCTCTCTCAATTTTTGTAACAAATACCAAAAAAATGTAATCCTTATTATTATGTGGAGTACAAATGCAGACTCCAACTGCAATGTGGTCTGAAAATTGATTCAACTTTGAGCATTTTAACAGACTGTGATGCTAACAGACATTTAATATGCCATTTTTTTTGTGTGTGACAGTAAGAAACACTCAAACATACAGAGAGACATATAATAGTGATAAAATTTGTAAATGATAATTCAAATTTTAGTTGCTGGAAAAAAGTATTGACGGGGCTACTAACATATCAATATCTAAGCTCAGCTTAAGTATTATGACAAGACCAAATTAGGTAGGAAGATTGTGTTGTGCCAATCTTCCAAGTAGAGAGACACTGCTTACATTGAAACGTCTGCACTCTTTTCCATCAGCCATAATGATATACCATTGACAATATTTTAAAAAGTTCAGTTAACATGAGAATTTGCAAACAATTCTGAGAGATTCTACAAATAAGATGTAATTTGACATTGAGCAGAGGCAGCATAAAAAAGCAAGTTAGTAATAGCATAGAAGCTATGATTTTTTTGTCAAGAAAAAATAGTATTTTATTTTTGAGATAATGAACTGTCAATATACTTTTATTATTTTCACCTAGGTTGTTGTTATAGACGTGTTGGCTAAGTTTATTCATAAAATCCACAAAGATCTGCAATGTTATTGGTCCTGACCTGGTATCTCAGTTTCAGCCACTTTCCTCACTGCCGTAATGTAGCTTCCCTGTGGCTTTTCTATAAATACTTTCACGGTAATTATTTTGATCAACTATCCTCTTTGGTACCTAATCTATGAATTCAAGCACAGTACTCAATTGGCAGCAAGATCTCATCATTTTACAGAGTAAGAAGCACAGTTTATGGGAATATGTGGAGAAGATAATGGTTAATTCTAGATTTAAACAGGTTAAGATTGTAATGATCAGGGAAGCATCCTCTTGAGAGTCAGTTCCACAAGGCAGTGATTTGTAGGAAGGTGGTGGTGTTTGTCCCAGTGATGTCAATTGTTTCACTACCTAATGCAGGGACTGAACTCATATCAACACTAAATGGTAGTAACCCATATATAATCAACTCCTATATCCATTACACCACTGTATAATGGTGCATTTTTGGAGCCTTTATACTTAATGTCAGATGATTTTGAAATTGATGAACATGGTGGGTTTGTATTGCTTTTCATAATTTGGTGTTTCATTTTGAGTTGGTTATGCAGGAGTTAGTGTCATCCAGTGGGTAAGGGTTCAATACCCCAGACCAAATAGTGAAACACTGGTTCATCAGGAATAAACAATAACTCATCACAGAGACAAATAACAGTAATAAATAGATATCCCATATAAGCCAAACAATAGACACCTGATGATGCCCAGGGAGTACTTGGTCGAAACATGTCTATAACATCTGTAACAACCAAGATGTGAACTTATTTGAAATAATAACCAAGATGATAATAGTTTGAAATAAAAGATAAGTTTTTAGCATTTGTTACTATTTTTTTTTTACATAAAGATTCATAGCATCATTATTCAGTTATCTAAGCATTCTATCTTTCAGCTAAATCGCTTATTCTGTAACGACTCAAACAAGAATCCTTATTTTGAATTTTGGTTTGAGCCAATAAGTTCTTTAAGAAACGTTTTGATATCATAAACTTAATAGAACCAATGACAAGATGAGCAGTGTTTGCATAGAGCAAAGCAAGTGAGAGTCTGAAAAGTGACAGGGTTTCTTAAATATAATGTAACTAGAAGAACATCCCATCCTACCTCCATAATCTTTATTTACAATAATAATGACAGGTTTCATTAAATAATTTAGACACATTCTGTCTACTTATTTTCAATAAGAGCCTTTCATATTTGTGAATAAGCTTTTTTATGAGGTTAATAAAAGACTAGAGGAAAACACCATGTTGGCTCATATTGTATTTATTCTGAGTACTTTTGACATAGCCTAATGTCATCATCAGGGTATTGTTAAACATTGAGTAAGTATTTATTGTTCATGGTTGTGAAGGACAAAAATTGTTGTGGTCATTCGAAGATTACCATTTTTATAGATGGAGTCATGGAGTCACGAATGCGGTATCATTTCTAGTTGGCAGTATGAAGTATTTCTTCAATATTTAGAAAGTGGTTAACAAAAATTAAACAAAATCTTAATTTATAAAAGGTGCTGCACACTGGGATCGCCTCGCCCAGGCTGATAATATCAAAAAGTCACGTTCCTAACAAATCAACCAAGTGAGAGTCGAACATGGATCTCATAGTCAGAAAGTGAGTATTCTAACTACTCATCCACGTGTGTGTGTGTGTGTGTGTGTGTGTGTGTGTGTATCCATACATACATACTTCAAAATATAGTTTAGTGGATATTCAGTTGACATCCTATAAATAATAAAAAAAACATCATGCTTTAATATAGGATGAATTAATTCACAGCCTTTTATGTCAATAAATATCTTGGTCAAAGATGAGAGGATACAATTTATCTTGTTAAAACAATATATCTGTTAATCATGGAAATAGAATTTAAGTGTGTAAAAAAAAAAAAAAAAAAAATCTTAAAGTATTTCTTCAATATTTGGAAAGTGGTTAATAAAAATTAAACAAATTTTAATTTATAAATATTAAAATTTAGTTTAATTTTACCCAACAAATCTTAAAATTTCGATTGACAATAGCAATTATTTCTTCACTGTTAATATTTATTTAAAAAAGGTCATTCATTTCACATTCATTTTCTTAATCATTTTTTTTGTATGTGAGGACCAATATTTAATAATAAAAAGATAGAAAGAAACAAGAAAATGACTTATCTCAATTATTTACACCATTTACATTGTTCATTGCCATATTCATAACATTTCAGACATTGTACGTTCCAGCCTTCTACAGGTCATTGGAATTTCAAACTGAGCCCTTTATTATGTCCACAAGGGTAAATTGTTCTAGTTCCATGTGCCATGCCTCTTCCAGATGTCTCAGTATCAGTTATCTCCCTTTAATTCAATTCTCCAAGTTTTTGTTCAGTTGTAGATAGGTATTGACCTCACAACTCT